ATTGAAATGTCGTTATATTTTAAGGAATAGCATTGTACTTTTCAATGCAAATAACTTTAAACTAGTCTTAACTTTAAACAGGCTCTAACCAGAGTAGAAAAACAAGTGGGAGGCCGCGTTGCACAACTGAGCAAGAAGATAAGTACATTAGAGTTTCTAGTTTGAGAAACAGGCGCCTCACAGGTCCCCAACTGGCATCTTCATTAAATAGTACCCGCAGTTGCCTGTTTGTGCTGTCCTCCTTTTGCTCATGACCAAGATTGTAAGACGTCAGGTTAGGGAAGGACCGCCATCCTATTGATCTTCCCTTCATCCGTTAGGGTTATTCTAATCCTTCCTAACCTTTTAGTTTCAGATTAAAAGAGCATCCCTTTTCTCACAACCACTACTGAGCTTTTCCTTTGAGAATTATTGTTGTCTGGAGTTATTATTTCCACTGTACCTCTCTGGTGGTATGTCAGAAAAAATGTGCTGCAGGCTGTTTGGAACGTGTCCAACTACTGAAGACATTCCACAGCAGTCAGGAGGAGATTTCTTTGTTTGAAAGATATTGTGAAGAGTAGTTCAGCAGGAAGTAAAACAAGTCTCTTATCTTTTCCCCTCAACGATGGACTGATGTCTCAGTTTCTGTTCAGGTTCATAGGAGCATGGGAGACGTTACCGATGGCGACTACACTAAAGACGGCAATGGAGACACTGTGGACGCCTTAAAATGGCGTGAAAAAAGGTAAACACTGCCTGATAAATCTAAAACAAAGATTGTTCTTGCCTAAGAAGAAATGGCAATGAGGAATTCAAGTGTAAGCGTTCACATGTGCCACCTACGCTTGTTCCTCTATTTTAGACTGTATTATCGTTCATTGGTTTGCTGCTGAGCAAGTACTTCAAGTTCACAGTGAAATGTCCTCATAAATTTGTGCACAGTTCTAAGCAAAACACTGCAGAAGATACGAAGGTGAAGAGAAGCTCGGGCAGTGATGCAAAGCCCTCAGACCCTTACCGCTACCGAATGGACTACCCATGCATGGGAACCTGCCTGGTCATCAACAACAAGAACTTCGACAGGAGCACAGGTAAAAAAAAGCCCATCTCCAAGATGCTTGATTGATGATAAGATTCAGTTTCATTGCTGAGCTGTTGCTCATCTAAGTACAGTAGTATCTCAGTAGGTTAAAGCTCATCTCTGACTTTGACGTCAAAATGGTTTAATACATAAGCATTTAGAACATTTAGAGTAGTGCAAAAGCAAGGGTTAGTTTTACTGAATCAGATGCAAATCAAAGAGTCAGTCATTCTTTTTTCCTAGGTTCATGGAGTCCGTTGCTCCAAATCATCTAAAACCCTCTCTTGTAACTCAAAGTTACACAAGCTCATCATGATTCAAATGGCTAAACACAAAACCAGAGAAAACCACTGACTCCATCAAAGCAAATGTAACCCGCAAGGGGGGGTACTTTTAATACAAGATACACCAGAACAAAGAATACTCAATATTTTATTGAATAATTTCATTAAAACATTTATTTTAAATACATGGCTTCAGGCCTAAATCTAGGTCCCTGGAAAGAAAAGGGATAATAGGAAATAAGGCCAATTAAAATAATTCCAAGAACAATAAATGAACAAACAGAACATGCAATGCAAAAGGAAACAAATTAGTACATCAAAAACACATTAGTAATTTCAATAATAAGCAAACAAACTGTAAAAGAAAATAAGCAAGCAACTTCAAGCAGTGGAACAAATTGTCATTGTCCAATTGGATCTGCCTTTAAATGGGGCCAGAGGAGTCATGCCTGCTCGCTCAGCCTGTCCAAGCAGCAACAGGTGTCATTGAGAGCAGCCCAAACAAACACCGTCAAAACAAGACAGCAGAGCGTCCAAAGCCCTGCGGCTCCAAGACAACCCCAGGAGTGGAAACACAGCCTAACTGAGGAGAAAGCAGACCAGCAGGCGAGGACTAGATGGAAGCAGCACGCAGCAATACCCCCAGATGCAAACTTCCTGATATACTGTTGGTGTTCTGTCAGATGAGCATACCCGGTCAGACCAGCACACCCATAGTCAATGTCTGTTTATCCCTTTAGTTTACTGCTTTAGTTTATCGCCTTAGTTTTGTACGGAAAATAGATTTTAAACTACCTCAACGGGTTTGTATACCTTTAGTCATGAACAAAACAACTATTTGATGACCTCATTTTTGGTGTTTTTTGAAGCGTACACCGATCTGACCTTAACTTGTTTTTTTTCTTTCGTACATGCATATAAACTATGGGTATGCTGGTCTGATGGGCGATGCTCATCTGATATAACACCTGTTTAGGAATACTTGGATTATTTTGTTTTTCTTTATGAACAAAGACAGAACCAGTCTAGTAGAAATACGACCAAAAAAGACAAAGCAATTCAAGAATATTTGAACCAACTACGTCTTTTTTGTTGTATTTTCAATAGGTATTTATTCTGGGTAGGCTTTATTTGATTGCTCTTCATTTATTTTCTTCTATCATCTGCTGAAATAAAAGAAGCACCTTAAAGCAGCGAGCTTGATAAAGTTCATCCAACCGATGGTGTAGAGAAACCAGCCCAGTTCTGCTGCTACTGAAAGTTATCTCCATATCCAGTCTTAGTGTTTCCTCCTGACCAAATGTCTGAATTTAAATTAGTAATTAGTATTAACAAGTACTAATACAAATACATTTTTAACTATAGGTAACTATTGCACCAAAAAATAAATAGAGATTTAGGTTTGTAGCAAATATGCATCAACAGGCAAAAACAGTCAAAATTAGCAAAACACAAAGTAATAAAACTGTAAAAAAAACAAAAAAAAAAAACAGATTTAATCAGTAAAAATGACACATTACATTTGTTAAACTGCAACAACTTTCTTCATCCTTCCTGTTTACTGCTTTTGATTACCAAACAGGGGTTGATGTTAAGGATTTTTACCACTTGCCCTTTGGGCAAGTGACTTTCAGATTTCATTTGCCCAGAAACAATTTTTACTTGCCCAGTATAATGTTTGATAAATATAGTTCCTAATATTCATTGTTGTATATATATCAATGAAACATGTTTGTTTTTAAATGTTTTTTGTAATTCATTATTTTTTAAGTTT